GAAATGCCTTGTGATGCTATTTGTGTTCCTGACCTTGCAGAGTTTGTGTCTGTGTTTAGTTTACCATTAGAGGAGCCACTAGCCTGCAGTCCTTCTTTGTGTTTGCTTTTCTTACGTCCGCCTAATACAGCAGCCCTTTCTTTGTCTGGGTCAGATGAAATCCTTGCTTTAATCTCCTCCCAGCCTCCTTCTCTCTCCGGCACCCTTCAGGGATGATGGTAGTGTGGCGTGTTGACTCTCACATGAGCAAATGTGTGCTACCTTGAAACATCAAACTGATGTTATTTTAAAACCTGCTTCTCCTCCGCCAGAACAGCACCGAAGTAATAAGCAGAAAATCAGACTCACTATGAAAGCAGAACTTAACAGATTACTGGAGTGATATGTTGTGAAACGCTGTGTGGACTTTGAGTCCCATTTCACAGACAACATGCAGAAGCGGTGTTTGCTTTCGATATTGAAGTTGATGTCACTTGAACGGGGCTGGTGATTTGTTGGTCTTGCACGGTAGGGACATAAAGGTTTTGCAAGTTTTACAGACTAAAATAGAAAAATTTAGACATGTCAAGACAAAAAGATGGAGTGCTAGATGCTAGTTGTCTTAATGGAAGAGTCAATAACTATTGGCAGCTGTTTCCCCTTTGGCAGTAATTCTATACTACGTGTCAAGGACAACAGTAGGGCATCTGACTGGGCTGCAGCCACCACCAATATGCATCTATCAACCCCAGTGTTTCATCCAGACTACTATTATTGAATGTGTCTCCTTTTGTTGAAATTGTGTTGAGATTAAGGTGACCCTGCTCTATTAACTTCACAGTTGGAGTGAATAAACAGGGATGAAAATATAAAAAGTTCATTGCTGTTTTTCCCTCACTTGTTTAAATTCTCAACATCAAACATACAGTACCTCACTGATAATGAACACTGTGAGCTTTGTACATCTACTGTTTATTGCAGTGTGGTTGCATAGATGTGCACTAGATTGTACAGGAATGCATGATAAATAGAAAACATGAATGAAGTTGCAACATCTTAATGTCAGTTAATTTTTTGTGTTCGCTGTTCTGCCTGCAGGTTGTTGGCTGTGGTTGTGCGTTGGATTGGCTGAGAACCTGGAGGGTAGCATGACTTGAATGATAGGGTGAGATCTGTTGTTTTTAAGCTGAGGTGGTGACAGACGGCGTTGTGACATGTTTAGTTTTTGGGATGGCCCATAATCTACCTGAGGGCTGTACTATGAAGCAAGATGACAGGGTTGATAAAAGTGTACGTTGCGTTGCCATGGGAAACCTGCATACCTATTTTATGTGAACACACAGTCTGATGATGGAAGCCTAAATGAACAAGGCAAGTTCATAACTACTGTTGTGATAGTCATTATCTCTGAGTGCGGTTTTATGTTTTGTTGAGCTGGTTTACGCAAAGAAAGCCAGGTTATATTAAACCTGCTTCATGGTACAGCCCTCGAGGAAAAAAACAAACTTAACCAGCAGTTGTCTTAAAGTGAACTCAAATTATGCACATTGCAGCGTCTATAAATTTCAATAGCAACAATAGCAGTCAATCAGACAAAGAGACGCATCTAAACTTCCATACAAAGGTGGAATTCGAGCACACATATAAATATGTGTATACTCATGTACCTATGTAAGCTTTTACTTGTACACATGCTCATAAAGGGCTCTACAATGCTGGCAAACACTGACTGTAAGTAACTCTAATGTTACTTATTCTGTAATTATTGAATGTTGTTGTTGTTGTAGTTCATTATTTAATGTGTTAACTTAAATCTGTCATGTATTAATGTTTTTAATTTTGTTATTTCACATAAATTGGAAGTGCTTTTATTTTGAAGGGACATCAGACGGAAATTATGGAAACTGAAAAAATTTAACGCCAACGGTAAAGTAACGGCAACCTAAAGAGACAAAAAACATAAAAGGGAGAACGGGAGAGAATAATGAATTTAGCGGCAACACGGTAAAACTTTAATTGTGTCAATCAGAATCAAACAAAATAGTCAGGTTGCCACGTATAATGACAACAGTTGCAAGAACAACCCAACCAAGTGTGTGACCAACAATTGCTCTGAAAAGAATCAAATAAAGTGTCCTAATGGGACTTTTTTGCCAAAGTTGAAACCACATGATTTTATCTGTTCTCTATTAATGGAGCATTTAAACATTAATATTGCAGTCGAGCCAAAATCAAGATCAGGGATTATTGTTTTATTAATTGTGCAACAAAACAAACAAAAAATCTCTGGGTATCCAAGGACCCGTTAATTGTAGTCAATGATATCAGACAGGTTTCAGGTCAATGCCGAAATGGTATGTGGTGCAGCCCTGACGTAGTAGCTCATGTGGGTGTGTCTTTTCTGGAGCCTACTAGCTGCAAATCACGAGGCTAATCAGGACCCCGGTACTAATGTTTGGATGGATTACATTGTTGACATGTATGGATTATAATATTGACACTAGGTCATATTAGGACGTCTTGACCTGCTACATAGGGTGAAGAGATTAAAGCATTAGTCCCAAATGTGCAGAAAGAGAAGCAGCAGTGATGAGTAGGGAGATTCTGAAGTGCCAAAATGACCTTGAGCAGTAGACTGGTTCAGGTTTCAGTCTCTTGCTCAATGAAGGTCCTGTGGCTGAACCTGAGGTCTGATCTTCCAGAGGAGCATTTTCATCTCCGCTTCATTAACGCAAAACAGTAGCTGTAGTAGTTGTTAGTATTGCTGGTAGTTTTCAAAAAAGAGTCTAAAGATGCTGTGTTGTTTTTTCTTTAGTTGATCTCAGTTTTGTCTTTACTCTGCTGTGCTGCTGTTTGATAAGATACAGAGTGAAGCAGCAGGCGAGATCAGATTTGTGTTCAAGGATAGACCGCAGACAGTCTTTAGGATATACCTCTCTCCTATATGTGGCATTAAATAGCCCTGCAGCGAAAACCAAAACAAAGGCTTTAGACCTTGTGTGGCTGACTTTTTGGCTGCAAATGCACAGGGCTCCCCAATGAGTCCCCAGGGCTCAGCAGATACCATTCTGCGTGCTCCAGCCATAAATCCTCTTTGCATGGCTGGTGATCAAGCCATGATGTAAAGGAGCTTAGCAGTCATAGACAGGCAGGCAGGAAGCTGCTTCCCTGTTGGCCAGGGGTCAGGTGATTACACACAACACTGACAGTAGAGAGAGAGAGAGAGAGAGGGAGGACGAGAGAGACAGCAAGGTAGAAAAACAAACAGAGAAATGACCACGCAGAGGTGTGTGAACGGTGACCACGGGGAGTTTGGGCGAAGAACTTAGCAGAGATGACTCAGAGGTTTCTCATAAAATGGATCTGACATAATCTAAGTGACAGCCAGAACCTGCTTCAGCTCCAGACAGTTTTGCTTGTTTGTCAGAAGCAAGCAGTGCATATATGGATGTTTGCTGACAGCAGGGAGGTTCTGTACCATCTCTGAATGTTGGGAACTTGAGGGGGATCAAGGTGAGAGAAATGCATATCGCTGTTCCCGCCACTTAAGGCTGCAAGTAACAGTTATTTTAATTAGCAGTAAATCTGCCAGTTATGTATTTGATGAATTGATCAAACCAGAGGTGGTGTTTGTTTAAACACGAGGTGCATCGATGAGGCGTGTGCACAGTTAAGTTGTGGCTCGATTTGAACGTTACGTAACCGCTGTTCCCATGCTGGCAAGTTTACATACATTAATTAGCTATACGTGACCAGATGATAAACTGTTAGACTGACTTTGAATAGAGAATATTATCAGCCAAGCATTTAGCTGAATGCACACAAGTAGTTTGTGTTACTTTGAAAGCATTCATTCTGAAGGGAGTAGTTGCTTTGCACCCAGAGGTCAAGCCCATCCAACAGGTTAGGCTACCAAAATGTAGCCAAGCAAGCTTTCATTTCCTGCAGGCGTTGTGGATGCAGCACAAGCTGTCCAAGTTTAACAGAGTGGTTTTGTCATGTTCTTTTGCAATGCGTATAAAATAAAACAACTAAATTATCAGGAGAGAGAATGGTGAATGAAAGCATACTGCTGCCGTTTAAATCTTTAATAGTTAAAGTTAACAAGGCAGAAAAATCATTTATTTCACCGTCTCACTCAAAGGCAGACTGACAACTCTGAAGGTGGAATGTGTCCTTGCGAGCTACTTCATGCATAAGGTGATGAGGTGAATCAGTTGATGAACAATCCACTTGTATTTTCTGGCTCTTTCGCGTGACACACTCTTGAGATAATGATTGGATATCAAGCACTCAAAAGCTGTGATCATTCTGGTTCCTCACTTGGAGAAAGATGTGACAGCGTGCTGTTCTGGTGCATACATTTGTGGATTCTACATTTTTGCCTGTACTGGACGGTTTGACTGTTTATTAAATGATTATCAAAGTTTAATCAAACAGTTGACAAAGGGCTTATAGGCAGGTCTCACCGTGCTGCAGTCATCTTTGTCACGCCCTCGGCAGCTATTTTGGCTAACGAGAGCCTTAACTTCAACTTTAACAGACATCAGGACATAAAAACTACATGTCTGATATACCCAAATTGTATTTAAAAAATACTTAAAGCAAGGTGTTTTCCCTACATGTTCTGATTTTACCAGGCATCCACACAGTTTCACAACACCGTGCTTGTGTCAGTGCAACAACGTGATTAGTTGGATGTTTCTTAGTTTGACTGTTACAGTGCAGACAGTTGTTTTTGGGGGTAAAGCGGTGGAGCGTTCTCCCATAGATGTCTTTGAAGAATTCTTTAAATAGCAATACTCTCCCTTATAATTCCTATGATACTGACTAATTTGGCATTTTTTGAAACAGTCTTGTAGGACTTTAGTTCACATTTGACCTCTTTGACAGCAGTGTGTTATTGTTAATAAATGGCATCTAATTACAGGTGATGAATCTTGTCCATTGATCCAATCTAATAAAACTGAATTTTTTTAGCTCACTCCTCTCTCTGTATCTTGATTTTCCTCCCTGCACAGGTCACTTTCCTCCCTCCCTTCCCCTCCTCCCCCTCCGCCCATCACAGCGCCGGTTGCCATGGAGAACTCTTCGGTGGCGTCTGCATCGTCTGAGGCTGGCAGCACACGCTCGCAGGAGATAGAGGAGCTGGAGCGCTTCATCGACAGCTATGTGCTGGAGTACCAGGTGCAGGGGCTTCTGGGAGACAAGGCAGATGGAGACTTGGACTTGGACAATGGCGGCAAGGTGCCACAGGTCAGAGACTTGTTCCTGAAATAGATGACATGCTCTCATTATATATGCTAGTAGAGGAGGGGGGTTGTTTAGTTTAGGTGGTGTGTCTTCCAGAACACGCTGGAGGGCACAGCCAGCGTCAGAACAGCTACCGTTATTGTTGTAATGTATATATAAACATGGACAAAGGTGGAGGTGAATGCACCACTGCTGTGACTGCATATGGAGCTGTCCTGTTTGACCAACCCGACACACATTCATTCTGCTGTGAGCTAGATTGTCCCCTGTCCATTTATAATTGTACAAAATATCCCAGAGGCTTTAAGATGAGGTCAAAGAACACATTTTGCGATGATTGTTCACCACTTTTGTGTTTTCTTAGACTTTAATTTTCATGTAAACCAACCACTTTTACAGAAATGATATTATACCATATTGTCTCCATACTTTTGTCCTCCAGTGGACAGATGACTTCAACGACAAGAGAGATGGCAGCTGGACATCATCACGAGGAAGAGGCTCATCTAAGCCGGTAAGTTTGTTTATGCGTCAGGATTCTTCTTATCTCACAGTTTTGTTTAATTGATGAATTAAACAATCATTCACAGCCTAGTTATGGACAGCGTGCTCTTTGGGTTGTGGTGGCAGAACAATGATGTGGTAAACCTCATCTTCCCTTTTTTTTTTTTACTCACATGCCATAACAGTCATTCTCCATCTGATAAACAATCCGAATCAAACACAGTCTACGTGTGCTTTTATTACAGATCAACATGTAACAGTATAACACAAGTGACTAAAGGGAAAGTTATGTGTTATTGCCTTTAATTGCGTCACACAGTAACAATCTGACATGAAGGTAAAACATTTAAGTAACTTGTGTTTCAAAAGTGATCATAACTAAAACTTACTCCCACATTTGCAGCAATGCGTATAAACATTACTAAACCAAGCACTCCTTTAACAGCTTCACAAAGCCGCATTTTAATGTAGTCTGCTTGTTCTATTAGTCCTCGTGTGGAAAAATGGCACAATTATTTTATAACAAGTTCTAATCCCATGTGTAAAATTTACTTGACTTTATATTACAGCCAAAAAAAACCCTTCAACTTCACTCAGATCACATCACTTAACACTTGGGCCGATCTGAATCTGGTTCTTTGTTTATTTCCTATTAATTTTAAATCACTTGAAGCTTCTTTACTTTCACCAAGTTTCTCTTTGCAGCCTCCACTGTCAAACTTGCCTTTCTGTTTGCTTGTGCCTCCTCTTCTCATCTTTTTTTTTTTTTTTTGGAGATGCCAAAAGCCTCCGTTTGAAAAATCTGGCAGTTCTGTAACTTTGGAACTTGTCATAAAGCGGGTTAATCACAAAGGACGGAGACACATTGGATGGTTAAAGCAGCACCAAACGACTAACTAAAACCCTTTAGTCTTATTTAATCAGTCAGACGAAGTACTTCCTTTTTTTTTTTTTTAGTCAGAGAAAGACATATGTACTCTGTTCCCATGAAAACAGCTCCAGTCTGAGCATGGATGGTCGTGGATGGTCTGGGAATAGTCTTCGTTTTACCCCTTGAGTAGTAGTGCAAAGTAGCTAACAATACTTTATCATTTGAAAGGGTGACTGTCCTCTTCTGTGGTCACCTAAACCATCTGATTTCTGGAGCACCGTATCGGTCAAAGCACACAATTTGCATGCTTTCCGTTTTACATGTTCAGGTTAATCTTTCTGTCTCCATCAGCTATTCATGTGTATGATTAGAAGAGAGACCAGCCTTAAGCAATGCACAGCTCATCTACTCACTTGCTACAGATGAAGCACGTTCCTGATGACTAACAGGATTCTGTGATGTTAGAGACAGTTACTGAATAATGCTGCGTGAATTTGCAGTCAATTAGGTTGATAAATATCAGCGGCTGGGTTCTCTCTGCGCAGTTTGCACTGACGATGATTTAAAGTGCTGCTGCTGCTCAGAGATTAATCTTTAGCAGCATGGGTGAGAGGTTCAAAGAGACCAGAGTGATCCAGAACATAAGGGGGGGTAAATGAAAAGACTAAAATGTCAGTCTGTGTATTAATATTTCAAATTCCAGTCAATATTTTTATTTTTTGCAGCAATAATAGAGAGCGCCAGAGATCGTGCCCTCTCCATTTTCTATTTGTTTTGACGTTTAGCTTTTGGCAGTGTAATATCTGAGACTTGGCAGTGGAACTAGAGTTATGTTTGACCCATGTAGCACGTCTTCTCGTGCCGTATATAGTAAAACAACCACCAACAGCAATCTAACAATTCATGAAGAAACGTGGTGACAGAAAAGGATTATCTCAGTCCAACAAACAAAAGAGTGCTGTGGTGTTAAACACAACATGAATTGGGCCAAATTGTTGTTTAAATAAAGTTTATTTTATTAGTCACAGTCAGTTTAGCTCATACTAACCCAACAGCATCAGTATTGGAGACTCGTTTTGTTATTCTTTTATTTGGTCTAAGAAGTAGCTGTGGGTTCCTGCTGTTATATTGAATTTGGAATAAAAAAACGAACCTCAGTCTACGTTTTTCTTCCTCCACAGGACGAGTGGGAACACAGCAGTAACGGCAGTACAGGTTCCAGGCCCAGTTCAGGGTCCAGACCTGGATCTGGCTCACGCTCCGGCAGCAGGGGCCGAAACAACCAGTTCAAAGTTCCAGCTAAGGTACAGACAGATCTGTGTTTGTGTTTGTCTGTTGCCTCATTTATCTCTTACTGCGACAGCGTTTCCTCAGTACGTGTTTCACTTCTGCAAGAAAATTTTAAAAAAAGAGAAACAAATCGAATCACTAAATGTTAAGGGGACACGTCAACTATTTTAAACATGAAGATCAGTCAGTTAAGTAGTCAGAAGGAGCACCAGTTGACCAGTGAAAATAGCTGCATGTCTTGTAACTTTTTGGGTCGACCAAAACGTGACAGGATGGTCCTTATCGGTACAATACCATAGTATGTGCAATATTGGTATTTCCACATCTAGAGGACAATCTGAACTAGTGCTTGTGTTTATTTTTGGTTTCTTTGTCATTTTTCTACTGATATTTCTTAAACGTTTACACGATTACCTTTTGGTGCAGTAAAAATACAAATCTCCCCACTCTGAGTCTCGAGAAAAGCGCTATATAAATCTGATCTATTCTTATTATTATTATTATTAATACACTATAAACTAACTAACTGCACCTGATTGAAACATGGATGGCATCAACGTGTAAGTATTCTCCTCATGCAGCGACACACTGCTCCCAGTGCTTCTGCAGCATTTAGAAAACTCCTTGGAAGTACCGTTCTGTACATATGTACCTGCTCCACATGTGATAAGCGCTGAAACTCCTAAACTGAATCAAAACACCGACCTTTCAACGTGAATCACAATTTAGGGAATACGAGGTGTGTCATAAAAGTTCCAGGACTGGTGTCACAAAAGATATATTTCAAACCCAAACTACAAGTTTTCCCCTTCAAACGATGAACCAACACGTCTACAAAGAGATCCTGCGGCATTTGCTTCATTCAGTGCACGAGAAGAGGCGAGAGTTGTGATAAGTCGTGGCTGCTTCACTATGACAACGCACCTGCTCACAATGCCCTGAGCATCCCACAGTTCCTGGCTGAGAAAAAACATTGCCGTGCTGGAGCAACCTCCCTACTCACCCCACCTGGCTCCGTGGGATTTTTTTCCTCTTCCCCGAGCTCAAGGGGGTCATCAAGGGGACCCGTTTTGAAGACGTGGACGACATCAAAATCTAGTGAGCAGGGCTGATGGGGAGCGACAGTTGTGAAGTTGTGGCCAAAAAAAAAACCTATGTATGATCAGGTGCACAGTGTGTCGGAGGACACACATGGCATCACACCACGGTTCAGGTCACTGCACCAAATGTTCTCCCTCAGACACTTCAAGATGTTACAGTCTAACACGCCACGTGAAAGTTGAAAACAAAGAGGATGCTCTCGGTGCGTTTCTCATCTCGCGGCCACTGTGAGAATGTGGTGCTTTCTTGTCTACTCTAGCTTGCAGTCCATGGAGAAGCTGCAAATGGTCAGCTACCAGCGATCACGAAAATGTGTGAAACACAAGTCACGCCACTTATAGTGTGGTGTCACGTGACATCCTCACTTGTGACAGTTATTGTTTTGTACGTGTTTAGTGCGCGTCATCATGAACAGTTCCAGAATTTTTTGATCAACCCTTATAATGCCTGCTCTGATTTTAAGGTAACCCTGATATAGTCATAATGATGTCCAAATTAAAAAAAAAAAAAAAAGTCTTGTGCTACAAACTGTGTAGTCTGAAAGATGTGGGCATTTACAGACACCTTTGCGTTGCATTATGGGAAGTGTAGGATCTAACATGTTTGGAGATTGGCCCATATAAGGGACTAAAAGTCAAGGTAGCTCAGCCTCTGTTGCTTGTATATTTATTGTGTTTATTTGTATTTTCTCTTTTTAATCGTTGCTCACACAAGTCAACTTTCTTGAAATCCTGTACAAAGTTGGCTTTAATCAACACAAGTAATTCAAGTAAACACCAAATAATATAAGGGATTTCTTTAAAGTTTACTTTTAAATAAAAAGAAAGAACCATGAAAAAATACTGAGTTCTGGGGGTGTACCTGTTTGTTAAATGTCACATATCAGCTAAGTATTTTTTTGTTTTGTATTCAGACTGTATTTTACATTATTCTGCATTTTTGTTTTTCCTTGTGTGCTGTCTAGAATGGGAACAGAGATGGCTCCTTTGACATCCTGGGAACAGACATATGGGCCGCTAACACAATGGACTCACATGGGTAAGTGCTTTAAGATTACACAGAGCTCATATGCTGCTCTGTCTGCTGGGTCTGAATTCCAGCCATAGTTTCTGGAGGGTCACATGATGAAGTGTAAACACACAAAGTCTAATAACTTTTTGTCTGCTGCTCTCACTGTAATGGGCTGTAATTTAGTCCGTCTGGTTCCTCTCACTGTTCTCGGCTCCCGCTTCACCTGGCTTTGTCTTACCTGCAGTTTCAGAATATTTTAAGGTTCAATATGTCCCTGTTTTCATCTTTGATTCCTTGAGAAATGTTGGTATTTATTGTGGTTCTTCAATGACTAAAATGAAATGTGGCAAGGGACATTATACTCAAAATATTAATTTTTGGATGCTTGGTTCAACTCTCTCTTCACTCAGCCTTAATCAAGAGGAAAAGAAGAGTTTGTCCTGATGAAAAGTATTTTGTTCCAGCTATATTTATGTCACACCAGGACTGCAAGCTTGACTGAGAACATTTCACCTCAATGCTTGTAATCTTGTTAGTCTTACATAAATGATGCCTCTGTGTGAATCAGCTTCTGCGTGTCTACATGATGTTACAAAGAGGAGCTATACCCGAAACTTAGAAGGAGAGGGGGGGGAAGAAAAAAAACAGGGCAAAGAGGAAATCAGTGACACATAAATCAGTTACAGTGGAGGGAGGACTGGTTGCCATGGTAACATCTGCACAGCAGCTTCACCTACCGGAGTTCCGGCCACGTTGGCACATCTGAGCACGCAGTGAATGATGCAGCCGGCACAGAGGGATGATGTCAGCAGCTGTCCCCCTGACGCAGGCGGAGATGTGGCATAGTTATGTATCACAATTATTTTAGTCATTTCTGCCCTCTTAGTTGAAGCTGTGTGTTCGGGGGGAAATGGAAAATCTTAATCATCTGTCAAGACTGTCGTCGTGCGCCTCTTGTTTCTTACGAATACTCTTTTCCTATTAGAGCTAGAGCAATAAATCAAAAAGGTCATTTATGGGCACATTAATAACATATTACATATACCAGTCTCTCATGCGCCAGCTCGTAAGTAACAAGAAATTCAAGTACCGAAAGACCAACAGCGTTTGATGTATTTCAGAATGAGTGTCATCATTACATAGTACAGCACCAGTGAAATATCACTCTTTTATCTTCCTAGTAAAAAAACATCAGATCTAAGGCATCTGTGTCAAGATAAAAAAAAAAAAACAGACCACTGGTACAGGCCCGTATCCATTTTGGAGTCTTTTAATCTCAATGTCAGTGTCCATTTCAAAAACTCAGCCTTCATGGGGTCATTTTTTGTTGCAGTTAATGCCGGCGCTGCACCGTTTTGCAGTCTGTAGTATTTTTACCGTTTTGCATCACACAGCACTCAACCTTTCCTCCTGCCAGTCTATTTCTGGGCATATAACACCATCTTCAGAGGATCTGAGCAGAGTATCCAAACTAAGTCACGCTAGATCAAGCATCACATTTTGTACAAACATGTCAAGCTGGTGAAAAGGCCGGTTTCCTCTGCACCATTAATAGAAAAAAAAACACACTTAACTTGAATGTGTTTGCTGTAATTGAAACCCATGAGGTAACAAGAACACATGCCACGGTAGACCTGCACTCTGCTGTAATACAAGAGGGCTGTTATGCAACTAACATTTCAGCAACTTTTCTTTTTTTCCCAGTTTTCCTCTGCAGTGTTCAATTAAAGCCCAATTTATCTGAGTAGAAAGACAGGAAAAAATCTATGGGCCACTCGGAGATGTCATGTTGTACTGTTTTACGCTTTCCCACTCTTTGCTTGTGTAGACGCTCTAACCATTATTGTGTCTCCTTGTTGTAGAGGTGCAGGTTGGGACGTACAGCCAGAGAAGCTGGACTTCAGCCATTTCCATAGGAAACATTTCAGAGGAACGCCAAAGCACCTGCCACACATTGACAGAGAGGGGTATGATTTATCTTTACCTATATGTAGCTGTAGTGTTGGCTTTCACTGGAGCCGCCCTGCTCAGTCTGGTTTTGATTCTTTAGGTTGGGTGTTCATGATTATCCTCTGTCACTCATTAAGCCCATAAATGTCCCTGATGGTTACAATCGATTGATTCTCCCCATCTTATGCATTTTTTCTCTTTCAGGATGAACAAAAACAAGTTTGAGGAAGATGACGGCATAGACATGAATGACATAGAGAGGTTCTTACCCCATCTGCGCTCTGTAAGTCACTGATTGTTTTGTTTTGTAAAACTAAATGTGCCTTTTTTAGGCTGTTTTTCTCACTGTAGTGCATCACATGTCTTACTGTGCATATTTTTGTATCACATTGGCCACATTGTAGAGTTTAGTAAAACAGTTCTTAGAGGAACTACACAGATTTAACAGTGAACCACCAACAGAAACCCTTTACTAAGTCGTGACTTCTGGATCTATTAGTTGTTAGAAAGTGACCCCTGGTGGTATAAAGGGAAAATAACGTGCACTGGACAGAACCATGACATTGGACTCATAAAATTACTAGAATTTTAAACATTAGTGCAAAAAAAAACAAATGACACTAGGCGGTAGCTTTTCTGCCTTTGAAGGAAATTTATGTTCGTTGTTGTTTTTTTTTTTTTTGAAGAACTGAAATACACAAGAACAGAAGATCAGCATCTATACGACACTACATTTACAAATGAAACTGGTTCATAATAAATAAACCTTTGCTGACATCTAGTGGTCAGATGCTGAAGTGAGCCAAAGCTGATATAAAAAGTCCATCAAATTATTACACCTCCCCCTAGTGGTTGAATGTCTGCATAACAGTTGAAGATGGAGCCAGTCGTGTCCACAGAGAACTGATGTAGGTTGCTGTGAGGCTGTGGCTGTTTCTCTCTTCTCTTCTACAGTGTATGAGGTGTTAAGACAATTCTTCAGTGGACTCCTAACTGCTCCAAATCAATACACAGAGTTGCCTCTGAAGCCAAAGCAAAGTTTTACTTGCAGCAACGAATCACATGCACAGTACAGATTCTGAACAAGTGACCACAGAGTCAAGAAACATTTCAGCATTTATACAAGCATACAAAAGATTTCTTCTCTGCTCCCATCTGCTGAGCCCAGGCTTGGTTACTTTTTGCAAGTTCTGTGCATGCTATCTTTCACGGCCTTCTGTATTTCAAGAGTTGGACAAAGAGCATTGAATCATAACATATAACACTGAATCTTTATAACATGAGGTCAATTTAATGCGCAGGTTTACATTTTCTTCAAGTCTCAAAACAACACTTGCATGTCCCAAAGGTATTAGTTGTTATATTTTCATTAGATTAGATTAGATTGAAATTTATTGTCATTACACATGTACAAGAACAAGGTAGCAAAATGCAGGTAGCATACAACCAGAAGTGCAATAGTGCAGAGTATAAAGTGCAGATATATTGTTATAACTAACGAACTAACTAACTCCTATGGTATTTACATGACTATGTGGCATGGTGTATATTTACAAATGGATATGTGCAAATTGTATCTTTGGTGCAAGGACATTAAAATAGTGCGATTAACAATAAAACAGTGTAGTGGACATTAAAAAGGCCGGTACATAATCTGTAACAGTAGTAAACAGGAGTTACAGTGCAATGTATAATTAGTGCAGATATTGGGAACATGTTGGTGAGATGGTTTTGGTGGATTCATACTGGAACTCTTCCTAATGTAGATAAAATACAAACTCTACTGTCCTCTTTTTATGTGCCAACGCATTCTTTAGTTTAGCTGAAGCTTATATATGGCTGTTTGCATTCTTTGATGGTCTTTTTTTGCTCACGTTCGACATAAAGATGCTCAAACAAAGGGAGCATCTGTAGTAAATATATACTGCACCTTCAGGAAATCCCCACCTGATTTCGCTAAGTCAGTCTTTAAGGGCCTGGCTGTAGTACTTGGGGTAAAGAGGGCTTGTCTAGTGAGATATATGTCCTTCCTGTTTATAAGTTCTACAGCCTAAAAGGCGTGCGCAACAACAGCTTCCTAATGTCATCGTACGGTATTACTGTATATGGTGTGTCTGGCATCAGCAGAGTCAAATTAATTTTCCAGCTGCATAGTACAAGGTATTAAGCACTGTGTTTTTCCACAGTGATTTGTGATTCATTGGGGTGGCGGAGTTCACTTTAGGTCACCCGTGTCACCCTTTTCTCTTCCTTCCCTGCTTTATGAGCCAAAATGTCTTCCATCTTTCATCGTGTTTGAGCTACAGTGTCTTTCTCTTTCCTTCCCCTCTTGGCCTTTGAGCTGAGCTGCGTTTTGCCTCTCATGGTGTTTCAGCTGAGATGGGTCTAGTTCAGCTACCAAGATGGCTTCCTCATTGTATAGTTCCTGAGCCAAGATTGCCGTTTCCGTTCATTCAGTCAGCGCCAAAAGAAAGACGGGGTCAACTGCGTTTGTCTGGTGCGCTTGGGATCGGATATGTGCTGGCACCAGGACACAGTAAGGTCAGAGACACAAAGCTGGGGGAGTGAGTGCCACATTTTCTGTTTTTGTTTCCCTGACATTCCTCAGCTGTTTCTGGCTTACACCTCACCCAGTCACTGTTTCACATTTCGACTGTGCCGAGTGTCATGCCCTGGCAAGTTTATCTCCGAGCGCTGCCAGGAGGAGTCATGCAGCTGTGATGCCAGTTCACTGATACCCTGTTGTTACCCTTTCTCATTCATGAGGCCATCCACTGACAGTACCCTCTGTGGTCTTGAAAAGCCCTCATGGCAGCTATGAGGGCACTTGAATTTCCATTTTCCATCAGAGAAAATAGAATCATTGTAAACTTTGGCTGCACTGGAGTGTATGAGCCACTTTCAGAAGTTATTTTTTTGTTGCTTGTCAGGTGTCTGTAAGCTTCAAAGCTAATTGTTTAATGAGGATAAAACATAAAGTGCATTGAGCATTTTTTTCCACTACATCTGCCTTTTGATTGCTTGTTCATAATATGTGTACCGCGAAGCTGTGTTATGTGGGGAAATATCAGCATTACACAAATAGATAATATGCAAAGCAATTTGTCATGTCTTCCAGTTTGGTTTCGAGTTGGTTTGGGCTTTGTATTCACGGCTGTGAGGCACTTTCCCTTTTGTTACACTTAGATGTCTGTCATCCTTACAGTAACAAGGCGAATATTGTTAGAGCAGCAGCTGCATTTTATTTACTCTGTATATGCTCTACTAAATTTAATTTTTTGAAAATATTTTTTACAGATCAAGACTTTGCAAAAAACGCGATACCTTAATGAAATATAACAAATTATTACCCACTAAACCAGAGATTCACTGCTATTTTGACTTGACAACCTTATAAAAATAGCAGTGTGAGAAGAGGGGGCTCACCACTATGTTTCAGTTCTTTACAGTTCCAATAAAAACACATTTCCTCTTTCAACTTCTCAGGAAGTTTCATTTAAATGTAAATAGAACTAAATAAAGTAAGACGTTTGAGGCCCAGCAATGCCATGTTTAATACTTCACAAAAAAGCTGAAGAATATTATCCAGATTCAAGAAAAGAATAGAAATTGGTGTGTCAAAACTTTGTTTTTCACCTTTTTTTAATCACCTTTATTTAAGGTCCAACCTGAAAAGTTTCAAGACTGGTGTCACAAAATCTATATTTCAAATCCAAACTACAAGCTTTCCCCTTCCAAGTAATCCCCCTGGAGTCTAACACACTTCCCCAGCCTTCTCTGCCACGCCGCCATGCACTCCTGGAAGGATTCTTCCAGGATCCTCCACAGCTCCGTCGTCACAGCCATCTTGATGTCGTCCACGTCTTCAAAACGGGTCCCCTTGATGACACCCTCGAGCTCAGGGAAGAGGAAAAAAAAATCCCACAGAGCCAGGTGGGGTGAGTAGGGAGGTTGCTCCAGCACAGCGATGTTCTTCTCAGCCAGGAACTGTTGGATGCTCAGGGCGTTGTGAGCAGGTTGTCATGGTGAAGCTGCCACGACTTGTCCTGCCACAACTCTCATCTCTTCTTGAACGAAGCAAACGCGGCAGGATCTCTTTGTAGACGTGCTGGTTGATCATCTGAAGGGGAGAAGTCGTAGTTTGTAGTTTGGGTTTGTGACACCAGTCCTGTAGTTTTTCTGACACACCTCGTAGTTTAAACTAACTCAGTAAAATGTTATTTTTCATCGATGCGAAAGATATTTTGGACATAGGACTTAGTGTTTGTCCTTTTATGTAAGGATCTGAGCACCACTCACACAGTCGATCGACCTGTGCATTGTGGATATTTGCCACTCGTAAAAAGTTATGTTTATGGAAAAAAACATCCAGTACTTGTCCAGTCATGATGGAAAGTCACCAAGCAAAACCGTGACCTGTCTCTTTCCAAAGTCATCACTTCCAGCTACTGTACGGCAGGACTACATCATCCAAAGTCCCCGTCTATGTCGCACACTTCCCGCCAGCATTTACTTCCCTCTTCCAGGAGCCAGAATAGACTTACAAATAGCTCTGGGATGTGGAAAACATCTCCTTTGTGTGTATGTGTGCGTACGAGCAAATCGGTGAGAAAGGGCTTCCTCCTATTGCCCTCAAATGCTGCTGCACCTCTACCGGCCTCTCTGGAATGTCAACCTGCTCACACAATAACCCTGCCTTCACGTCCAATGTCAGGTTGTAATGACAGAAGCATGCAGGGGTCACAGAGCAAGTATTTGATCTGTGGAGTAACGCCACGTATCACATGAATCCTGGGAAACAATAAACACAACCACCAAGAGTTAGCAAACACCACTTTTATTTAATAAAAATAATATTAGTATTTGGGTTTTTGCACATTTCTTTAGACAAAACTAACAATTAAAACAAAGACAGGGAAATAATTAAAGAGGTAGAAAAGCAAGAACAAATTTGCTAAAAGGACGAAGTCAGACGTAATGACATATCAGGAATAAATCACAAACCAGGTAGTTTTAAGAAGCAATTTAAAAACAATGATTTGATGACTTTTCAGGCAGATTACTCCAGAAGTGGAGTTTGTCGACAGCAGCAGCGTGAGTTCATCTGAAATAGATTTAAACACAATTAAAAACAGTAATTTTACCTAAACTAAAAACATTGTGGTGCTACTGTTAGTATTTGTCAGCTCTGATCAGATAAGCCCACACACTACAAGAATAGCATCTTAATATTCAACAGATATTCAACTCAGGCAAAAACCAAGACTTTACAAACTAATTAAC